CCCAGTCCAATTTTATTTTGCCCCTCCAAGACCAGCCGGTTAAGCTCTCCAAGGGCCCATGTAAATAGGGTTAAGTAAATTCTATTGTAGGTTTTGTATAATAAATTTAAGCTCTTCACATTTCTTCAATGCGAGACGCAAGTCACACAAGTTTTCTAAATAGATATCGCTCACACACTCCACATGCTCCCGGTCTTGCGTTTAGCACTCGCTTTTGCTCCCATTCTCTCTGTGTGACTTAAATTTTGCCGCTTTTACTCTCTCGCTCTCGCTCTCATACCCGTACTCGCACTATGACTTGGTACGAGATTATAAAGAATAATAATAATAAAAAGAGGAATGAGTTTTAAAGTAGCTATTTCTAATTCTTAGATTTTATTGAACTAGGTAATAAGCTATACTTTCATTTTACTTTTTCTATTAACACATTTTCTTATTCTTGTAAAATTATCCTCACTAGTTGTTATATTTTCTTTTTTACTTTCTGTTGGTTAATTAGTTAATTTTTTATATAATATAAGATTTAATTAACATTATTTAAAATAATCAAATGAATATCAAAAAAGTTTTGGCCTTCAGTTTCAAGTCGTTGGTCATGCATGCATATCGCATAGAAATTCGGCCTTTCAACACAAATCCCATACCCACTTGTCGGCTCAACCACTAAGCCAATTAGACAGTGCCTAAGGCCCCACCAAAAAAATCTGATTATAGTCCATCATAGGTTTTTTTAATTATATTACTGGTGGCCTCAAAGTTTAAATTATTAGATAGTGGACAGTGTTACGTGAGGCAAGACTAACCCTAAACCTACGCATATCACGGGTAGGGTACGACTCTCCTCCAAAAAATGTCTTACAGGTCTCAAAAATTTAAATTATTAGATAGTTCAGGACAAAACTTCCCGTTAGACCCAGCACCTCTCGAGTAGGGCGCGTCGACTAGATCAAGGCTTGGATCTAATTTTAATACCAACTATAACAGGTCTGACATTTGTCTTCTGATCAAAAAATTTAAGTTGTTGAAATAATATTACATATCCACCTATATATACTCAATCTCTTCTCCCATCGTATCCAACAGGGGAGAGAAGACTTATCCAACATCAAGGCATCAAGAGTGGTAAAATGATATTTTTACCTTACTTTTTATAGTATCTTAATCATATCATGCAATCTTAATTAATTCAAATTTGGTCGCCGTTAAAAACCAATTAGACAAAATTTTTCAGACGGCTCAATGTCATGATGTGGTAACTGTTAGTCATCAACAAAAATAGGCATCACATTATGTTACAAAGAAAGAAAGAAAGAAAGAAAAAAAACCACTTTTTTGAGAAAAAATTGTTTTGAGTCAGATGATTACATTAAAAATGTAGTTCAATGCTACAGTTGGAACAAACTGATAAATCCATCTAAACAACTATATTTTAATTAATGTCTCGGCCGTAAACCAACACCAATTTGGGTATGTTTGGTTATGGTTAAATCAATAGATGTACTAATCAACCAAACAGTCCTGTATCAAAGTCAGTGGAGAGTTCTGTGTTGAAGTCTTCTTATAGATGGGTCCAAACGCTATAATAATTCATGCAAATAGAACCAACTTTTTTTAGACTAAACATAATGGACCGTCAATTATCATCAGAAAGCATAAAGCTTTATTAAACTTAAGAATATTAATCAGAAATCAAATTTAAAGTTGGTTTGACTTTTTTTCAAATAATTTTGGACTGTGTTTGGATGCGAAAATGACATCTGAGCAACTCTGCAATAATTTTTGTTATAAAGGGGCCATATTGCATTATCTTTCTCAAAGTACTTTACTTATAATGGATGTAACCATTATTGTGGAGAAAATAACACCACCCTAAGTATATATATATATATATATATATATATATATTGCATTCACCTCGAATGACTAAATAACATACATCTACCTATGATTTTAAAAATAATACTCTCCCTTAAGTTAAATGACAATTACACCCGTTGTACTTTATTATTATTTATGATTATATCGTATGAACAAAAATGTCTTATCAAGTTTTTTAAGGACAAGATTAGACTTTAAGGAAGTCCGCGTTTGATTTCAAAACTACTATTATTTTTGAAACTAGAAAAGATGTACACGTTAATTAGGCATTCATCAATGTAATACTCATTAATATATATATATAATAATAATAATAATAATAATAATTAACAATGTTATCCCATTAAATATCGCCTATGAAGCACGGATACAAATAAAGAATAAGCACAGATACAAATAAGGAATACGGGTACGACATGATAAGTACACAATGATATGACAAATCTAAAAAAAAAAAATATATAGGATCTGGGTTTGGCATGGATATGTCAAAAAATATAATATAATATAATATATATATATATATATATATATATATAATACATTTTTTTATCATTTTATCCATATAATCATAAATAAATCATTAATTTTGAATTTAGAGCTTGTTTGTTATTTTTGTTTTCTTAAATTTTATATAATTTTTCTAATTAATTTATAATATATTTTAGATTACATTGAATTTCATTTAAATAATAATAATTACAAAATCCCTCCGCAAAAGTGTCCAAAACGTATCTAATGTGAAAATCACAATTTGTTTTCTTATATTGTTGTTGCGTTTTCACACACACATATATATGTGTGTGTGCGGGTGTTATTTAATAATATGATTCGCCTGAAAAAGTAAAAGTAATAAAGGAGTAGAAACCTTAACAAATTCATAAATGAGTAGTTAATTGCATGATTGAATTGAGGCGTGTAGTTTAATTTCCAGAAATAAAAGAGCCAATCAATTGATTGAGTAGTGATAAGTTGTTGGAATGTGAATGTCGGTCAATTGAATGGTAACATGGTAGGGTCTTCAATTAAGCACAACACCCGCCCTTTTACAAAGAGGATTTGATACCTCATCTGCATTGCCTCGGGTATCATCAGTCATCCTAATATCCCTATAATTATGACCGACCTCTCTCTCTCTCTCTATATATACACAAATATCTATGTATATGTATCCGGGTATTATTAGATTCTACTTGCCAACTTGAAAGATGATTGAACTTGATAACAGCATGAAAAAGATCTCTCCCATACCTAATGGTCCAAGTATCACATTGTTTTCATACATTAATTAATTGGGGCTTCCTCATAATAATCACACTATAGTGCAAGGTATTTACATCGAGAATAACGGAAGTAGGTTGCGTATGCACATCTAATCTTCTCCAGATTCGCAATGACCAGAGTCTCATACACTGAATTCCAGAATAACTAGGCTCGAATTCATTATGTACATCGAGAGCCTCAAGCATGAATTCATTATGACGAGAGCCTCGAGCATGAATTCATTATGTACATCGAAAGAGCGGAAGTAATGTTGCGTATGTACATTTAATCTTCTCCGGACCTGCAATGATGATAGCCTCATACACTGAATTCCAAAATAACTAGGCTCAAATTCATAATCACACTTATGAGTCGCTTAAGAAAGCCCATCACCTCATGGTAAGCTGTTGGGAAGAAGACCTGAGACAGCTCATAATCAAAAAGCTTGTCATTAGTCATATATACAAACCCTCAATATATATAATACATATATACATACATGTGTATATATATATATATATATATATACACACGGTAGATAACATAGTTCAAATGCCTATACGAGCTCATTAGTCATTAGTAGTAGGACCATTCCAGCTAATCGTCTTCAAGACAGATGATGAAGTAGAAGAAACAAATAAATCAGTTACTCCTCAATAATTAAAACACTTTTAAAAACTTTTTTATTATGAACATTGCATCACTTCTTTTAGTGATGCTTATTGAATGAAGTCTTGAGAGTCAGTGGAACTTCACTAACCCTAATTATCAAAAGTTGTTTTCTCAACCATAAGTTTCCTCCACTGGGTGGTTCACAACTTGCATCATCACTATAATAACAAAAGTGACAGATTAACCAAAAAAAAGCATCACTCGACACGTTGAGAAAAAAAAAAAAAAAACCCTAATCATTTAGGGTTTCTGGATGAATTTAGTGGCTCTTCCACTATGACTTTATGGATGATTGCATTAGCATATTTTAGGTGAATTGTTGGATAAAAAATTAAAAATACACTAGTAATTTATTGATATACTAAAAGATTAATACTATTCTTACTTCTCAGTGACAAAATTTTTTTAAAAAAATGAACAGTCTATTCTGCAATTTTGGACACTCAACTTTTGCACAAATCTGAAAGTAATATGGATTGTGACCTACCTTAAAAGAAAATATTAATAAATGGATGATTTGGCAGGTTTTTGCCCACCCATTGACACCATCTAATCTATCCACTAATTAGTGTGATTAGAAATTGACCTCCAAAATATGTGGTCATTTCCTTTGCTTTACACACACCTTAATCCTCAAACAACTGGTTCATAACAAAAGGTGTTTCAATTGATCAGTGAACCAGAACATGTATACTTCAACTTTCACACACCCACACCCACAAAACCCTAGAACGTGTATAAGAGATACTTGGCTTCCTGAAAATACAGTAGAGCCTAAATTTTAATCATTAAGAGAGAGTATGCTTACTTTTACATATTAAAATAAGAACACATGGGGAACACAATTATATAATTTAACAGCTATAATTAGTTATTTGATTCTTAGTTATTATAATGATTCTCTCTGTATAAATAGTTTCTGCTTTGAAAATTTTCCAGATAAAACAAGATTCTTACACTATATTATAACATTTTGAGAAAGACGAAGGAAAGCACAGGGAAAAAAAAAAAAAAAAAAAGCTTAATTTGATGAGTTTTATCTACCAATGAAAGTACAAGTATTTATTTATTTTTATTTATTTTTGTTTTTCCCCCCAACATCCATGTAGAAAATACCATCCCAGTCCAAAGAGCTTTATTGAAATTAAATGCTGGAACCATTAATCCAGTTTAGATTGCTAAATGTCATCTAACCCATCAATTAATGGGTCCAATCCAGCCAAACACTATTAAATAGTTGGCCACATGGGTGATCAAACAGCACAAAGTACTGCTAATAGCACTCAAGAAATGCCTACTAGCGTTTCTTAAGCTTATATGGAATTATCATCCATCTCTCACCAAACTCTATAAACCAAAACCTTTCCAGGAAAACAAATTTCACTTTAGTTTTCAGGTCTCCCAAATTCAGGGCTTTCAGAGAAAAATTGTCAAGATGAAGATATCAACACTCAACCTCATGTCAATGCTGACACTTCTGATTTCCTATAGTGCGTGCGTGGTTTCACAAGAGAAGAACAGCTTACAGAAGACTTATATTGTGCATATGGACAGGTCCACTATGCCAGGGAGTCTTGATGATCACTCCCAGTGGTATATCTCGTCTTTAAAATCAGTGTCAGACTCGGCGGAAATTCTTTACACCTATAAAACTGTAATCCATGGTTTTTCTGCAAGGCTAACAGCAGAGGAAGCCAAGTCACTCGAAGGACAACCAGGGGTTCTCTCTGTCCTAGAAGAAGAAAGATATGAGCTTCACACAACTCGAACACCACAGTTCCTTGGACTCGACAAGAGTGAAGCACTCCTTCCCGAGTCCAACACAGTGAGTGAGGTCATTGTTGGAGTGTTAGACACTGGTGTCTGGCCTGAGATTGAAAGCTTCGACGATACTGGACTTGGCGCAGTGCCCAGCAGCTGGAAAGGCGAGTGTGAAGGGGGCGAGAACTTCAGCTCATCGACCTGTAACCGGAAGCTGATTGGTGCCAGGTTTTTCTCTAGAGGTTACGAAGCAGCTTACGGACCAATTAATGGAACAATGGAATCGAAGTCGCCGAGGGATGATGATGGCCATGGAACACACACCTCAACCACAGCAGCTGGGTCAGCTGTAGCCAAAGCTAGCCTCTTTGGTTATGCCGAGGGAACAGCACGCGGTATGGCTACACACGCCAGAGTGGCCATATACAAAATCTGTTGGCTCGGTGGATGTTTTGCAAGTGACATAGTAGCCGCAATGGAAAAAGCTGTTGAAGATGGTGTCAATATACTATCAATGTCCATTGGAGGCGCACTTTCTGACTACGACAGAGACAGTGTTTCCGTTGGAGCATTCGGAGCAATGTCCCAAGGAATCCTTGTATCTTGTTCGGCCGGAAACAGTGGGCCCTTTCCTGAGAGCTTGTCCAATGTTGCACCATGGATAACCACGGTAGGTGCTGGGACTTTGGACCGTGATTTTCCGGCATTTGTTAGCCTTGGAAATGGAAAGAAATTCTCTGGTGTATCGCTTTATAACGGGAAGGCATTATCTGATTCATTAGTGCCAATTGTGTATGCCGGTAACTTGAGCAACACCACAACTGGTAGTCTATGCTTGACTGGTAGTTTAGTTCCTGGGAAAGTCGCTGGGAAAATTGTGGTATGTGATCGAGGTTTGAATTCTAGAGTCCAAAAGGGTGTGGTGGTGAAAGATGCTGGTGGCGTAGGGATGATTTTAACAAATACTGCTTCCTATGGGGAAGAGCTGGTGGCTGACGCACATCTCATACCTACAGTTGATGTGGGTCAGACAAAAGGAGATTTGATAAAGAATTACATATTTTCAGATTCTAATCCAACTGCCACAATTTCATTTGATGGCACACAGTTGGGTGTCCAACCATCACCGGTTGTAGCAGCTTTCAGTTCTAGAGGTCCAAACCCAATAACACCAGGCATACTCAAACCCGATTTGATAGCACCCGGTGTCAATATCCTAGCCGGTTGGACTGGTGCAGAAGGACCAAGTGGGTTACCGGCTGATACCCGCCGTGTGAAGTTCAACATCATTTCCGGTACGTCAATGTCATGTCCTCATGTAAGTGGGTTGGCAGCACTACTCAAAGCAGCACACCCAGAGTGGAGCCCTGCTGCTATAAGGTCAGCACTCATGACAACAGCCTACAGCACATACAAGAATGGTGAAGCCATACAAGATGTTGCAACAGGAATGCCGTCGACACCATTCGATTATGGTGCTGGACACGTGAACCCGGTAGCAGCGCTTGATCCAGGCCTTGTCTATGATGCCACAGTTGACGACTACATAGGCTTCCTCTGTGCCTTAAACTACACTGCAAATCAGATTTATACACTCGCCAAAAAAGATTTTACCTGCAAGTTGGGTATGAAATATAGCGTGGGAGATCTAAATTATCCATCTTTTTCTATCCCTCTGGAGACAACCTCAGGCAAAGGTGGTGGTAGTGGTGCAAAGAGCATAGTTAAGTATACAAGAACTCTGACTAATGTTGGGACTCCCGCAACTTACAAGGTTTCTCTATCTTCAGAGACCCAAGCAGTTAAGATGTTGGTTGAGCCAGAATCACTGACTTTCAGTAAACTTAACGAGAAGAAGAATTATACAGTGACATTTACCGCTAGTTCTATGCCATCAGGTATAACCAGCTTTGCCCGTCTTATATGGTCAGATGGAAAACACGTCGTTGGTAGCCCGATTGCTTTCAGCTGGACATGATGTCTAAGATTATTGAAGAAAATTCTGTGTTTTATGTTCACTTTTACATTCTGACAACATGCAACAGAATGGCTTGTAGAGTCAACAGATCTAGGATGGTAAAAATAAAGGGATAAAAAAGGGGGTTGGGATGGGGGCAGCGGGGGATTGTACAATGTACATGTAAGCTATTGAAATGTCTACATCAAATTATAAATGTTGGTCTTCTCAAAGTTCTGAAGCAATAATGTAAACGGTTAATGTTGGTTTGATAGCATCTAAATAATACTGACATTATAACTTCCCATGGAGAACTATTAAGCTGGCTATTAATGATGGGCACCAAGTATTTGCCATTTCCACCCAATATTTTCTCCATGTTTGAGCAAAATCGCCACTCAAAGTAGTTTGACATGAAAGCCATGAGCAATATAAACCCAACTGCTTTTAAAATTCAAATAAACAATAGAACTAGAGATGTGGAAGAGAGGAGTAACTCCATAAAGAATCTTTGGGCTTTACTTGATAAGCAATAATCTATAAAGGCGACGTCTTCATATAAGGGTTTTAAGCATTGCATGGTTGAAGTCATTTACTTAAGCAAACAGAAATAAAACAGAAGTCTCCTTAGAGAAGGAAGAAAGAACAGGGTTACTCCAATCGCCGTTGGTGCCTAGATTTCTAAAGGAAAATCTGAGAAAATCCTGTAGAGAAGTTTCAGATATCTCTTATCAAAAAAAAAAAAATCTTATAATATCTCAAAAGTATAGTGGTAAAGACTAAGGGGGCTGTCCCTTTTATAATAAAACTATTTAGGACACTTCACTTCTCCAGACTGACTTTTAAGCTACCCATAAAGCATTAATAACAACTTCTACCATTCCCATGACATCTTCAGATTCCTATACCATACTTTCTACTTAATAAACTTTGACTAGACACTTTTCAAGACACTACTGAGTATTGACTGCATCAACTTTCCAAAGTACCATGAATAATTTGCATCAAACCCTCCTCCTTGAAGAAAACTCGCCCTTGAGTTTGAAGCAATTTACCACGATCTATTAAAATTACAAATAAGGCCTTCCGTCCTTTCTTTCTTCTTTTCCTTACTCGAACAAAGCAGAATAAGCTTCTGTGGCTGACGAAGAATACCTATGAACGAACTTTCAGAGCTCTTTCTTTAAATTTAGAAGATTTCTGAAGCTTGCTTGAACACATATCTCGAAACAAAACCTGAATTAATCTGATTTTTGAATTGGAACAACTCCTAGCTACATGTCCCACCAAGAATCTATTCCAAATCAAATCACGATTATGAAATTCATGATTTCTCAACTCCATACACAAAGAAGCATCATTTCTAATCAAATTATTCCAGAAACTTGAATCTGATGTAATGCTTACTGCACCGCATAACACTAGAAGGTCAATGTTTTTATCTTCAGATTGCGCACCTTGAGAAAGACTTTGCTGATTCAGATTGATTACTCTCAAATACATGACACGCAGGTTGAATGGTGACAGCTTCTTTAACTTCAGGCAAGTTGCAGATTGTTTCCTTAGGCTTCCCATCTTTTGCCTTATTTCCTTCTTTATCTTTTTCAATCTTAGATTCATTGGAGTCATTATCTCTCGATTGAACCTTAGTTGTTGCATTGTTTAATTTAATTACTTCAATTAAATATCTTCTACCCTCATCTAAATCAACACCATTATTTTTTTGATAATTAAGCAAATTCAATAAAAGGCGTTCAAAAGGGGAACGCATCCCATAAACAACAAAAGGATCCTATGGACCCAAGGAAGAAATAAAGTCAGTTACTCCTCCGGGGAGGAATAATGCCTGCCCGAACCCCAAAAGCATAAAGATGTGATAAATGTTGACTTAAGAACAATAATAGAGGATTCCTCTTCTTCAAAGGATCTATTATTCCGCTTCATCCACAGAAACCACCAAAAGCACAACGGCACCATCCTCCAAAACCCACAAGCATGACCTCTCACAAAGCATCCTCTCCAAGCCTCCATCAGTCCTCTCGCAGATCTAGGCATCACCCACGAAACCCCAAACATGCCTAACAAAACACACCAACAGTCAAAAGCCACTGGACAGTGCAAAAGAAGATGATCCACCGATTCTCCATTACATTTGCACATACAACAGCGGTTAACTGTGATTTGTCTTCGTTTCCTCAAATTGTAAAGCGTCAGTATCTTGCCCCACACCACTGTCCAAGTAAAGAAGCCACTTTGAGTGGCACCTTAGATCTCCACACTGTTTTCCACGGAAACGTAATCCCTGTAAAATCTGAGAGACAACGGAAAAATGAACGCACTTCAAACACCATTATTCACTAAAGAAATTTCTTCTTCATATTTCTTTTCCTTCTTGTCAAATTCTTGACGTGAGTATGTTTAGTGTATTCCCAATATTGCATCTTCTTCATCTACACTTTCAAAAGATTCATCAAAAGTTGAGTTGGCATGAACATAATTCAAAAGATCTTCCTCAATCAAGAGTGGTTTTTGATCGACAATGTGACTACAACTCTTGGGCACTTGGCAGACTTGTATCTTGAACCTTCGCATGTGTAGGACCAAAATTCAGGTTCTATAGCACGTTTCACCTTTGCTGTCCATGTGCTTTCTGACAGTTTAACATGTGGCAGCACTATGATTTGTACTTCTTACAAGAAAGATTTACAAGCTGCACAGCAGCTTGAACATCCACACAAACAAGTCTGCTCAAGCCAAAACCTCACCCTCAGCTTGAGGAGTTGGGGAGTATCAATCAGTGTAGTTGCCTTTGGGCTATGGTTCTTGCTACCCTTTCTTATTTGACAGCCTCTTTCGTGCTGTTTTCATCTACATCAGTTAGGGAAAGCAGTTGTCCCTGTCAAGTCTGATCGCTCCTGAGCTGACCCATCCAGCAACCCTTAAGACGGAAAGTGAAAGAATGCATACTTCAGTAGGTTGTTTTATCCAATTTTCACCTTGATATGCCTTTGCTTGCTGCCCTCTTTGTCTCCTAATGTCCAGATTAAGAGGAGAAATGATTCCATATTGTTCTAAAATAGTGTTTAATCGAGAAATTTAATGTTGCAGATTTTGAAAGTCTTCTTTTGTGACTATCTTGCTTCCTTTCCTAGCCATAGATCTGCAATAATCACAGATTTTATTGGAAGGGCTCTAATACCACTTGAAGCAAACAGAAATAAAACAGACGTCTTCTTACAACAGTAAGAAAGAATTGGGTTAGTCCAATCGCTGTTGGAGCCTAGATTTATACATGGAAATTTGAGAAAAACCGGTAGAGAAGTTTAAAATAAGTATATTGATAAAGACTTGGTTACAACAGATAAGAGGGCTGCCCCTTTTATAATAAAACTATTAATGACACTTCACTTCTCTAAACTGACTTTTAAGCTATCCTTAAAACATTAATAACAACTTTTATCATTCCCATGACATCTTCAGATTCCTATACCATAATTACTACAACATAAACTTTGACTATACACTTTTCAAGACGCTATTGACAGCATCAACTTTCCAAAGCACCATGAATCATTTGCATCATTTACAAAATTAGGTGGAACCTATTTTTAAGGACAAGATCCACTAGGCAATTTGGATGTGCTGAATGGAGAGAATTATCTGAAGAAAGCATCTAAAGCAGACAATTAGAAATCATTCAAATAATCATCTAAAGTTTTTGTTCGACAGGACCGCTTCAGTAAGACTTGCTTCCTTCTGAAATTCTAAGGTTTATCACAGCTAGCAATCTCAGAAGTCAGAACATAAAATATATGGAACTTATTATATATTTATGTTGCTAGTGCAGTTTTCTTCGTCTGATTGGTTAGAACCGTTCTTTTTAATAAGGTTTCAGTGACGTCGTGGAATTACATTCATAATATCGTATGTGGAAATGTGAAATAGTCCATAGTTATCAAAGCCAACTGAACTTGAAATGATGAGAATATTAGTAGGGTTTGATATAATCTAAACAAAATGAAGTTTAAGAGACAATATTGTTACTTTAGACTGTCGTTCAATTATGGAGATGGAGACTGATGGGCATTGACAGAAATACGAGTAGAACAGGGTATGGTGAAAACCGAGACAGCCTTTAGGGCGAGAGAGAGAATGGTAGTAATGGAGAAAACTAAGAGAACTCTAGGTCACTGCTTCTGTAATACCCCTAATTTTAAAATGATAGTCTTGGTATTTATTTATTTGTTTTAATTGTATTTTTAATTATTTAATTGATTATTTGACTAATTGCTTATGGGTTTAATTGAATTAAGTGTTACTTGAGTATTTGATTATGTGTCTATGTGTTACTTGTATTTGTCTATGTGTTAATTGTTTAATTAGATTATGTGCTTAAATGGTGTTTTGATTAATTGTAAATCAATGTTTTCTTGTATTTTATTATTTTCTTTTATTTTTCTTTTATGGTTATGGTTAGTAGTAATGGGCCAACCAATTAGGTCCCATGGACTACTTGGATAGAAGGTTGGATGGGTATGGATTATTACCCATGGATAGTTGTGCATATATATATATATAGATATATATTATATACATATATAAAAGGGAAAGTAATTTATTAATTACTTTTATGGTAACTTGGGTAGTAATATTTAATCTGATGTATATGTTTTATATTTAAATAATAAAAATATACATAGATTTGATACGTGTTATGTTTCAAGTTACTTTATAATATTATGGTAACTAAAGTATTATTGGATAATCCATTAATAAATAATGGGAAATTTATTAGTTACTTTTATGGTAACTTGGGTAGTAATATTTAATCTGATATATATGTTTTATATTTAAATAATAAAAATATACATAGATTTGATATGTGTTATGTTTTAAGTTACTTTATAATATTATGGTAACTTAAGTATTATTGGATAATCCATTAATAAATGATGGGATGTGTATAATTTATTTATTTAATAAAGATATACATAAATTATATACGTAACATATTTTACTTACCTTTTTAATGTTAATTTTTATTTTTTAAGTTGGCTTGGATTGGGAAAAGGGTTAGG